CGCACGCACGCACGCACGCACGCACGGCGCCGCGCCTTACGTCACGCGCACGCGTCACGCGCCTGCGCACCGCCCTCTCCTCCCCCCTCACCGGCCCTCCGCGGCCAAGCGCCGCCCGGCGCCATGTTGGGGGTGGCCGAGGAGGGGCGGCGCCGCCGCCATGTTGGGGGTGGCGCCGCCATTGCGCGCGCCGGGCGGTGGGGCCGCCCCTCTCGCCGCCGCTCCGCCTTGCGGGGTGCCGGTACCGGCTGCCAGCCCCCCGGGAGCCCCGCACGGCCACGGCCGGGAACGAGAAGGCAGCCCCAAAGAGCGGCGCGGGGACGCGGTGTCCGGTGCAGCCGGTGGAGCCGGCCGCAGGGAGAGCCTCCATGGCTCTTCCCCACCCCACAGCCCCCCGGCTGCTCCCGGTGGTCACCGGCCTTGCAAAGGCTTCCTGGGCACCCTGCAGGACAACATGATAGACAAAGCTGGCACCATGGCCCCGGGGAAGGGCCACACTGGCTGCTCCACATGGAGCAGCACATTCCCATTCCGTGTAATCCCACCACAGCGCACTCAGTAGCACTAAAGCCCTGTCRTTTTGAAATAATCTAAACCCTCTTGCTCATGTGCGTACACAGGAAAGCGAGTGGAGGTCGGGCTTGCAGCAGAGCACCAAACCTGCAGCCATGAACACAACTTCCCTCGCTGAGGGGCAGCCCTGCTGCAGGATACCTACGAGCACTTGGCTCCTGCTAATTCCTCCAAACTCCAAACAGCTGCAGTTGTTCACTTTTAAAGAGCACCGTTAAAGCAATAACCTGTGCTGCTCAAAAAGATTCCTTGCTATGAGATTCTAGCTGTGCCCCTTGCAAGGGGCAGTGAAAGGTACCCGAGAAGAGCAGGGCTGGTGCCATCCCTGCATGACAGGGGCACCTGCTGTGCCTCCGGGGATTTTAGGACCCCACAGTCTACTGAAAAAGGTTGAAAACTGCTGTTCTGCCCACTCCGAAAAGTGATTTAGGTCTCTGTAGGCACCTGGTACTTTTTCATTTTACTGTCGCAAGAGATGAATTGCAAAAGCAGTCCACTAACTGCTAACATCAGTGCTGACAAGAATGAAATACCGCATTGCCATCACCTTCCTCCATGAAGCTAAGCACACGGTGATGGGCTTTTCTCGAGCAGGACCCTTTCACACACCCCTTTCATTGCTGCACTGGGGCATTTTTCACAACACATCCACGGGCTCTTGTTGGATTCGTGTTCAGCCGTGGCTGAGGGGAGCCAGGAGCAGCAGCCACCTTTATTCAGGCTCCACAATAACTCAGAGCAGCCTCCTCGTGCCCGGTAGCACCAGGGGAGAGAGCTGTAAACCGAGAGCTCCACAACRGCAGGTGGGACTGGGCAGCCAGGCCTCGGAAAGAGTCCTTTTCTGCCACCCAGTAGATGTGGAGCTCCCCTGCTTGGGAAGAAGAAACCGTGGGGATTTCTCCATGCCCAGCTCTGGGTGCCCTCCCGTGGTTTCATTTGGCTGCCAGTGCACCCATCAGCTACCTCAGCTACAAGCACAAGCTGAGGTGCCCCTCGGGACACTGCTGGTTTTTCAGCCTCCCCCAAGCTGCAGATAACCCAGATGAAAAAGCTCTGCAAACACCAATAGCGCAAGTATCTCTAGGCCAAGCTCAGCGTCATTTCTTCAGCCAGGAATCAAATCCTACTGACTGATSAACACATCTCACCTCAAACTTGTTGCCTTAAGCTCATTTTTAGTTCCTATTTGTTAGCATACCGCTCTGCAAACGTGCCCAGAGCTGCGATCCGCTGCCGTCTGCCAGCGCTCCATCTCCCGGGCCTCGCTCCCTTGCTTGTGCTCTCTCATCTGAGGAGGTCCCTTCTGTTAAGCTCCATCTGTGCCGAGAAATGCATCCACCGCATGCGCCTGCTGGAGCATTCAGTGGCTGCAAAGAGCGTGCAGCGGCCAAGGTGGAAAGCAGAGAGCTGTAGGAAGGAATCAGGCTGCAGCCCGTGTGCTGACAGCGCTGGSACGTGTGTTTGCAGCTCTAAAGCACTGGCAGGGCAGCCAGAGCTATAGCCAGGCTATCCTGGTTTGCTCCAGCCCCCAACATGTATGTTCCATATGGACCAAACTTAGTAAAGCAGCAAAACACACCAGGCATGGATCTAGGGCCGTCGCTCCTCTAGAATATTCTGTGTGCACGTGCTAAAGCTGTTGCAATCAGGATCCAACTGTCATCCCACTTCCCGTGGAGCAGCTGCTGCRTCTGCACAGAGAGGCCAAGAGCTGCAACAGCAGATGCATCAGCAGGGACTCATGCGGCTCAGCTCGCTCCCCGCCAGCTCCTGCGGGACACCGCTCCGAGCTCCGTCCTTCCTGAAACACGGAGGTCTGCAGTGTGAGGGAACGCGCCTGCAAGGACCCGGCACCTGCCTGGCCTGGCGTCCGCTGGCACTGCCACCACAGCAGGTTATCGCCATGACAGATGTCTGCAACCTGCCTGGTTCCAGTTCAAATACCACCAATGATTTGCCAAGAATTAAAGGTGGTGTAAACAAGCAAATGAAGAGTAAGTTTGYCCATAAAGCTCTCTATCTGGGGCATGAAAACTCAAGGCAGGGACTTGCAGGTCTTCCCAAGAGAGGGTCTGCATTTCCCAAAGCCCCCTTGGAGCCACAAGGGCAGCAGGTCCATCGACCTGGGAGCTGCCTTCAGGAGGGAGTGTGCTTAGAAAGCACTCGCCTCAAACAGCCAGGAGATGCACAGGAGCGCCCTGTGAGCACTCCCACCACCACACACACCAAACTCATCCCAGAAATASGAGGTGCCTCACAGTGGGCAGGACAGCTTGGACTCCAGCCCTGCAAACACTTGTGCTCACAGGACCGCTCAGCAGGACTCGAGCGGGTGCCTGGAGGCCCCTGCTTCCTCCATGTCCCTTTCCTTGGCTCTTGTGCTCCCTGCCAGCAGCGGAATCTGTGTGCAAACCACCCTCCTGATTAAACACAGATGCGGCCAATGTTAGAGGGAAGTCAGCAGGCTGATAGAGTGTTTCATACTAAAAAGAAAGAAAGAAAAAAGAAATAAAGAACTGGGGAATAAGGTATTGCACCAAGAGCACGAAGGCCATCCTCATGCCCCAAAGGCAGCCAAAGTGAAAAGACCCAAGTATGAAATACAGGCCAGACTTTAGAAGAACCAATGGCAGAGGAAGGAATAGGAGTTTCTCCCTCCCACAGGGAGCAGATAATCCAGCACAGCCCTGACGCAGCCTGCGAGGTCCCCAGGCACTTGGTTTTTTGCTGGGTGCATGGACTATGGAAAGGTGCCCAATATCAGTGATTTCTGGACACTACTGCTCCATTCCCAATGCCAGGAAGCACGCAAGCCACTCATTTTAAGCAGAGGCTCCAAAGCTAAGCACATGCATAAGCTGTCTGCTTACGTAAAGATGCATTCCTGAATCCGACTGCTAGTCTAGATTAATGCCGGCCAGATACAGATGAACTTCTCTGAGTCATCCCCTGGAGATATCAGGTCCCCTAAAATAGCAACAACAACAGAATACACAAGAAGACTTGAATGTGTTGACTGAAAATAGGATCACAGCATTTTACATAAGTGTAGTAAATATGCTAGCCCTACACAGGTTGAAATAAGGGCTTGTTTCAAGCCAGGGCAACAACCCCTTCCCAGAAGATAAGCCACCTCCCTCTTGGAGTCCAGTCTCACAGGCTGGGAATAACCCTGTCACTGAGCCCGCCCAATGACAGCGGCGGGCAGCATTTTCCTTTCCCCTGCAATTTTGATACAAGCAAAGCAGACTGAGGATGCAGAGACAGTGAAACCAGTGGATGGCATCATAAAAGGAATGGGAATATTAATAGTGAAGTATTATTAGAGGATTTTGTTTTCTAGAGTAGTGCTAATGCAGAAAGTTGGAGAGTTAGGTGAGAATTAGGTGGTAAGTTTTGAAACAAGCAGATAATTTTTTTTATTTTYGAAAAACATTTCAAAGTTTTCCAATGAAGGAAAATCAGCTGGCATTGCAGAGGAAGCACTTTACAGAGAGAAACAGAGCAAGACAGGCTTGAGAACCAGGAAACCATATGCAGACAAGCAATAGCCTTAAGACAAGCAASGGAAAAATTCAGACAGAAAAAAAAAATCTCTTAAGTTCCAAGCAGATTTTAATGCTCCTGCTGTTCTGTTTTTGAGGCACCCCTGTTTCCTYCTGCTTTCTCACTTACCTACAGAGGTAGAAATGGCTCCACAAGACCAACAGGCCAGAGCAAGGGGCACAAGAACCAAAGCACAGAGGCAGCACAGCCCATAGCACCCTGTCCAGCAGCAGCCACAGCACCTCTCCCTAGGGAACACCGGGGGAAGGTGGGTGCTATTAGGACCCAAGGCCACCAACAGGCCTTTATTGCCCCCAACGGGGCTCAGCTGGGACCCTCACACCACTCCRCATTGCTCCAGGAGCTCTATTTAAGCGCAGGTCTGAGGGGCATCTTCCTCTCTAAGCTGTGGTGAAGGTGCCATGGCTCCTCTATCCCTTGCTAAGCTGTCAGGCTTGTCCTAGTTGATCTCAGTTCTAAGATAAGGTAGTGTTCTTACCCAGCAGCTTTAGGGGAGCTGGTAGGCCCTGTGAGTATTGCTGCTATGTCCTTATTGCCTGGATTACCTGCTCCAAGACTGTGCTCTGCAGGTAAGCTGACTACATCATCTGTGGCACAGCAACCCTTGGCTCCTRGCTTGTCTTCCCTTAGGAAGGCCCAGCCTTGCCCAGGGATGTGGGGAAAAGATGCAGCGCTGGGTAGGCACTGAGCTCCCGGCAGTGCCAGCTGGAGCCGTTCCTGAGGGACTGCAGCTCCCTCAAACTTGAGGGTGCCTCTTGACCACCCCTTCCCTCCTCACCCTGAGGTCCCCTGTGCATCCTCAGCAATTTCCTGAAGATCCCACCAGTGTGAAGAGACCCGCTGCCCCGAGCCCCCTCACACGCCCAGGAGAGGAAAGGGGGGACCTGTTTGGGGAGACCTGTTTGAGGCCCCTTGGAAAGCAGCTGCTGGAGGAGCCGCCTGGAAGCAGAGGGTTTCTGCAGGCGGTTCCACAGGGATGGAGCAGCTGCTGCAGGCAACTGTGCTGGTAACATCTGGCCAGATACAATTCAGAGTTCCCTTGAGGATGGATGGGCTCAAGAGGGGCTCCCACGCAGAGCTGAGCCCAGAGGCTTCCCTAAACGCAACATCCTGCGCTCATCCCTCTGACACTCCATGCCTCCCCTCGCCAGGACTGCTCTGTGTAACTGGACTTTCCGCCGCGAGTGCGGAGCGGCACCRAGAGGGGCCCGGTGGCGTGCCCGGATAGAGGGAGCAGGGCGGCCGCGTCCCGGGGGAAAACGGCTCGGCGGGGCTGGAGCCGGGGCGGTGCTTTCGAGACACACAGCGGAGCGCGCTGGGCCGCGGAGAGCGCCCGCAGCGAGCGCGGCGGCGCGGGCTGCCCCTGGGCGGGCTCTGCCGCCGCGCGCGGGGAGGC